GGTGGGGGTGGAGGGCTGGTACTTTTATTTTTGCAGAGGCTGCAGCTAACAGGGGGTGCCAAAACTGGTGTCTGCAAATTCACCTCATCTCCTGCCAGCTGGTCAAACAGTAAGTGGAAGCCGGGTTGCCGGAAACTCTTGTGTTATTTTCTGTCCAAGCTGACGTCTGAATAACAATAGCCCCTGTGCACATGAGATTTCATCTGAATGAGCATGGGCTTCTGTGATGATAAGCTGGGACCTCACTTGCTCTGAGCTAAAATACCAGCCAGTCTGATGGGCTGTGAGGTGTGAATGTGAGCTCTGGTGTTTCAGAAGCTTCTGTCTGGAAAGCTGCTAACAAGGTACCTGTTTCAGAAAAGTGATGGTAGATTACTGTGTTGCAAGGCGGGCACATCATTCTAATTTTGCTCCTGCCAACAACGACTTCAAAGCAACAACATCCCAATAATTGATCTTTAGGTGCACAGTAATTATAGCTAATTACAGAAGGGCTGCACTCCCTGGAACCAGATGCCTCACACAGATGTCTGCATCTTGCACTAAATCTGCCAAGAGTCATAGTGATAACCAGGGTGGTAATAGGACCCTCCTGCCTTAGAGTTGCACAGGCTGGGATGGTGGAGCTGGAATACTCTCCTGGAGTTTAGTAGAGCAAGCCATTTCAAATCACTGTGAAGACCCTGCACTCCCCTGATTCAAATTAACAAATGCAATAATGGGGATCTGGTAAAGCAGAATCTCCTGGTAGAAGCAGGATCCCTGCAGCCTCTGTAGCTCTCTGTGTGTTTTTCCTGTGTGCTGGGTTTTCAGCAAGGTGCAGTGTAGCAGTGGTTCTAAGATGGTTGTGGATTTTGGAAACGCACAACTTCAGATAACAAAGTACTCAAAAATAATTTGACACAGCCCTGAGAAGAGAAACTGTGCTTGCCAGGCCTCAGTGTTACACATCCCCCACCCAGAAAGCAGGAATCCAGCAAAGAATTTTTGCTGTTCCTTCTGATTTGGGTATTTTGTGTCTAGGTAGCATGACACAAGAATTCATGAAATGCTTAAAATATAAGACTTGAAGAATTATTACAAATCTCTTAAAAATTAATTATTCTTAAATCAGGTTTGTTTATGCATTTGTTATACTGTTGATAGCTACCAAATTAACTTGAGTAGGGCTCATGCAGCAGAAAACAGGTGATGTTCTTGTCTGTTACCAACTGAAATGACACCGGTTCCCCTACTGACATTTTAAATTGCTTATTCTTCTCTGAAGAAAGGTTTGAGCAAATCTGTAAAACTTGAATGTGAATTACACAATGTTACAGTTTTCCCCAGAGCAATATGCATATGATATTATTGTTCATTAGGTGTTTATATATACACACACGATGTTATAATTGCATAACACTCTGTACTGATATGGTCCTCAGCTTGCATACTGCATTCAAAACAGCAGCATGCTTCCAGAAAGATAGTGATGATTCAAAAGGAATTGGGAACAAAAACTAAAGTAAGAGATGATTTTCAGTCCTGTCAGAGAAAAACAAACAAAAAAACCCAACAAAGATCTGGGACTAGTTAGTCTAGGAAGAGGAGAACTGAAAGCAAGAGAAGACTTTGGGTATGAAACAGGTTGCTTCTGGAGGAAAGGGAATGTCTGTGGTCTGTGTCCCACAAAGTGGAACAGGTGGTGGAGGACTGAAACTGGGCGGAGGACTCAGGTGGGAAAGGTGCTGTGCACTGGGGTTGCAGTGAGTAGCAGAATTCCTGTGTTTTTTGAAGTTGCATTCTGCACAGTTTGCAGGTCCAGTGTGTTTATAGTACGGCCAGTTAGTTATCTGGGCCATCTGGCTTAGCAGCTAAGGCTGGCTGAGCTAGATAAACTGACACATTTTGGAAAAGCCTCTCTATATGCTGCAGGCTTGTGAGCAGTGCCCTTTTGAATTACTCTCATTCCAGACCGTGAAGTGTTTCCCTGGGAATGCTGTCGGGATATCATCATCTCTCGTTGGCTGCTGGCTCAGTTCCTGCTGTGCCTTTGGCGCTGGGGAGGCTCGCGGTCTGCCCGGGAAAAGCTGATGCAAATAAGAAAGGGAAAAGCCCAAAGCAGGCAGCAGGGCAAACTTTGGGCATGATTGTCCCAAGGCTGCCTCGGGGACTCGATTGATTCGGCTTTGCCTGGGATGCTGGGAGATGAGGGCGGAGCTGATATCCCTCCTGTGCCGCTACTGGGCTGGGAGCCGCTGCTGCTGTCAGGACTCCTGAGCTGGGGGAGGGGGCTTGGGAGAGTTTAACTTGGCTCCTTTCCGTGCTATGCTCTGCCCTTTTTACCTCTTCTCCCCCTTTGCCAACC